TTCCACTCTGTCCTCTAGGGGCGCTGTGGGTCAGAATGGACTCCACGGCAGTGGGTGTGGTTTGGGCTTTGCTTCTGTGAAGATTGACAGCCTTGGAAACCCTGTGGGCAGTTCCACTCTGTCCTCTAGGGTTTTAGTTTTATACCAGCGTGACCTCATGAACTTACCTGATAACGCCTGCAAAGACCCTGTTTCCAAACAAGGCCATGTTCCCAGGTACAGGGTGAGACTTGAGCCTATGTTTGGGAACAGTAATCCACAGCTGTGGTAAAGGGTGTAAACTTGGCTGGGCTTGGTTAAATGGCCGGGCAGTTGGTTGTACTGCTCCCCATGGTGAGATTGGTAATTAACGCCATGGTGGACTCTAATGGAGCAGCTGAGTAGCTGTGTTAGGGATGTGTTCTGCTTCCCGTAAATAAGGAAGAGGTTTGGGAATGGTCTCTAGCTCTTGGCACACTTGGATCCTGCATGTAGTTGAGTCGTTGTTCAGCAGCTTGCCATGCTCTGCCGACCTTGGGACTTTTAATGGACTTGAATCAATGGCCTACCTTGTTTGCTAACAAAGGGACTGTGCCAATTCATTTGTCAACCTTGGGCTTGTCAGCCTCAGCAGCCAGCAGCTGTCTGAGTGAAGAAAAGCCTCTAGCTTCAGTGGGCCGGAAGCAGGAGGCAGAGCTGAAGCCCAAGGTTGAGGGGCTTTCACCCAGCCTCTGGAGCCTGGCACTTTGAACTGGGACTTCTAGCTTCCAGAATTGTAAGAGAATAAACTCTTTGTTCAAGCATCCCATTTATGGTACATTCCTGTTGAGTGGCACTAGGGAACCAGAACACCAGCACTGCTCTGTCACTGTGTGTATTTGGGGTAAAAAGATGACCGGGGTCGGGAGGTGAATCAAGTGTGGGGAAACGTCATTGTTTGCAGTGGGCAGGGTGGAACGGGCTAAAACATGGTGGTGGACACCTTCCCGCCGCCTCCCTCATTTCCCGTCCCAGGGGCTGTGTGTGACCGAGTGTCATGGCCCTGCCTGGAACCCAGCCCGCCGAGTCAGCATCCAGGCCGCCCATTCATCAGCTGCCGAGTACTTGCTTGGGCCTGGGCCCTGAGCCAGGCTTTTAGCTTGGCACAGGGGGGACGTCCCTTACAATGCTAAAGAGAGTTTTGGGGTGTGCACAGGGGCACATCTTTGGAGAGCTGGCTGGAGTGCTCCAATCCTCAAGGCGTGCACACCCAGACTTCACCTCCCTGGGAGCTTTCCGGTGGGTGGTGCCACCCAGGTGGCCACAGGATCTCCTGTTGCTGAGTGTGAGGCCAGCTGCTGGGGGAGCCTGCGCGCGCTCCTCGGCCTCTCCCACGCGCCCCGGAGTGGCCTGCAGCTACGGCAGCCCACATCTTGAGTTTGCTTCACACCGGGGCTGGTTTTGCATTTTGCTTTCCACCCGCGCCACCAAGTGCCACCAAGTGGTCAGGACCAGCCATGCTGCCTGAGCGCTGGAATGTGCTGGGACACAGGACAGCTCCGGACTGAGGCGAAGAGAGGTTTTATCTGGAAGACTTACTGCAAGGGGCAGGGGGACTGCTGTGCAGGTAGGGACACTGTGACAGGTGCCAGGGCCTTGGTGTCAGGCAGAAAAGGGAGGATGAACAGTGGAGGGCCAGGGTCAGACACGTTTTACCCTGAGGTGGCTCACGTCCTGAGGGAAGGACAGAGCCTCACTGAAGTTTGATTAAGCCAGTGGGCGTTTTTCCCCCACGGGTCGGTGGGAACAGGCAGTCCCACTTGTGTTTCACAGGGCAAAGAACTGGCTTTGTCACAGGTAAGCCATCGTGGCCCTGAGTCCCGGGAGGGGGTTCTTTGCAGCCAGCCAGCTCCTGGGACACAAGGCCATTTTCCAGGGTGAAGGCAGGGTGCAGGGCAAGGGGCTCAGAGCTGACAGTGCCCCCAGGTGGTGGAGGGGCCGGTCATCTCCACACGGACACCCCAGTCCCACTGCCGTTTTCTGGGACTTTCTTTGGCTGCCCCGGAGTTTCTTCTGATGTCAGGAAAGTCTGTGACGGAAATGACAGAAAGGTCAAGGACCGAGGACTAAAGGGTCACTGCTGGCAGTGGGCTTGGGGCTCTTGGTTTGGAAAGTGCTCTGGTGACAGTGGCCAAGTGCTTAGCCGCTGGCAGCAGTGGACGGTTTGAAGCCCAGCCCTTCCACGGGAGAAAGGTGGGGCACCCCACCCGTCAGGACTGCAGCCTGGGGCAGCCCGTGGGGCAGTTGTGCCGTGGCTGGGTGGCCGTGCACGCCTTCCCCAGTCCCCCAGCCGTCTGCGGTGTCTGCAGAGCTCACGGGTCTGAACTGCTTCGCGGTGTGGAAGTGGCAGCAGACCCGGTCACCACCCAGTCCCAGGCCAGAGCCGTGCACTCTGCCTTCTGGAGGTTTGAGTGGGCTCGGCTGCCCAGCCCAGTCCCAGGCCAGAGCCGT